CTTTTTTTGGTATGCGCCCCTAGTGGGAATCGAACCCAGGACTCTCTGGTCCGCAGGCCGACGCTCCAACCGCTGAGCCAAACTGGTCAGGGCTCATTAGCTTTTCAAGTGTGTCCTTCAGTATGTTGATTCATCGAATTGTGCATATAGAGGGGTCAGGGGTTATTTTCAAAGAACGTCATCAAGAACATCACTGAAGAGGGACTGAGATCCAGGCCATTCTGTCCCGGGACAGTCGGGAATGTGTAAACCATTGGCTCCTAAGTGTCCTTGGCTAAGGAAGATAAAACTTTGTGATTCATTCGCTGACTGTAAATTGCTCAAATCATTTGGCCTTGTTTAATTATTTTGCCTTGGTTTTCCTTATTCCACTTGTCAAGGAATTTCCCAGCTTCTCACGATCCTGCTTCCCCTTCTTGTTATCATCATGGTTCATTCGCCGACCCCAGCTGGTGTGTGCTCCTAAGAGCAACTGTGGGCATGTCTTCCCAGCTCTGTGTTCAGCGACCTATGCTTTGGTAGCTTGAATTTCGAAGTGTTGGGAGCGTTTATCCCATGGAGATGGGCCTGTGCCACAAGTCAGGCTCCCTCTGGAGATGGTTGTCAAGCATTTACCAACCCATCAGTGTTTGCTCTTCACCCCACTGGCAGTGGTTCTTATTGCTTGGAGCACAACGAAGGCAGGAAAGTCGGGGAGTCAGACATCTGGACAGGAATGTAGACTTTGCTATGTGATAGCTCTGTGACCTCGGACAAGGTATGCAAGTTCTCTACCCAGTTTTCTCCTTAGTAAATGGGGTTGACGTAGGACCCACCTCAGGGTTGTGAGGATGACGTGAAATGATGTACGGTAAGCACCTAGCGGTGTCTGTACATAGTAAATGTTCGAGAAGTGCTATCTATTAGGTCGTTTTTTTTTTTTGCAAGTTCAAATAGTCATTTATTCAAAAAATACATATGGAATGATTATTTGCAAAGTGCTTTTGATTCCGTATGGTTTCATATATACAAATAAACAAGAATAAAATACCACCCTGAAATTCGGAGCTTCCAGATTTCATGTTTGATGTCATATGGACATAGGTCTTGCCTTGGTTTGCTGTGAATGGGCAGGTAGTTCCTGAGCCCAGTCCTCTCATTTCCTGTTGGAGCACTTTGTCCCCCAGCTCCCTGTCCCCCTAACTGTCTTCCTCACTCTGCCATTTCCCCCTTTCTCCACAAACCAGCGAACAGTCTTTCTGGCACGTGGCAGATTATTCTAGACCTGTGGTAATAAGTCCTCACGTGTGGCTCATCTGGTAGCTGCTTTTTTATACCCCGAGGCCAAGAACAGAAGGCTTGATTTCCCTGTGCAGATGAATTCTCTAGCAAAAATTCTGCCCAAAGATAGGAGCTGTCGCTGGTTCCCGTCCCCCCCCCCCCCCCCCCCCCCCCCCCGCCCACTAAGCACCCTGTGGTGCTCAGAACAGTGTCTGCCTCGGGCAGCCTTCTCCACCTCAACATTCCTTTAGTGAGAAACATGGTTATGATGTAGGAAAAATGGTAATGTTACATTCTAAATGCCTCAGATTCTTACAGGTATAAGTGAAATTAAAATAATTGGGAATGGAGGCATCTGGTGTAAAGGGGAATGTGTGTGTGTGTGTGTGTGTGTGTGTACACACATCCAGCATTGTACAACAGTTTATTTGATTATTCCTGTTTCCCTCCCAGAACAGAGGCCTGGAGAGGGCGAGGAAGGGTCAAGGGCTGCTCTGGGGCTGTCTGCCCTGTACCCAGAGCTTCCTGAAGCTTCCTGGCTCTCCCAGCCTGGATGGGGATTGGGAGTGACCATGTCAGTGACTTGGGACAGGCCTGTCCCTTCTATGTCTCCATCCGTTCCTCTGTGTAATGGTACCAGGCCCAGGCAGAGGCACTGACCCCAGCAGCCTCCTGGGCCAGCAAGGTTCCCGGCAGGGCTGGATGCAGGGTGACAGGAAACCATCCTCCCCAAGGTGCCCAGAGGGGCCAAGCGGCCAAGGCTGAGGGTGGGGAGTCCAGAGCAGTCTCCGCCTCCTGTGTGCCCCACGGTCTGGCCAGTGAGGAGGGGTGGGGCGGCGCTGCGCCTGCGCAGCTCATTGATGCAGCCGCAAAGGCCGGCATGTAGGGGCCTGAGTGGGTCCTCGGTCTGGAGGCTTGGGGCGGGGTGCAGTTCAACCCCGGGTTGGGGGGGGGGCATCCAGCGATGGGGTGGGGGCCCAGGAGGAGTCAGGGCCCTGGGGCTGGGGTGGGGTGGTCAGGGCAGACGGTCCTCAGCAGCAGAAGCAGCCCCTGGCCAGCAGAGTCAGCGACAGGCCTGCGGATGACGCGGGGTACAAGGCGTCGGTGCGGCCGTCAGGGGGCGTCAGGCTGCACGTGGAGGGCGTAGGGCTCCAGGCCGGCGGCCAAGGCTGCGCCGTGAGCCGCGAAGTTCTGCTCCTGTAACACCGCTGCGTCCTCGCCGCCTGGGTCTCAGACAAGAGGGTGGGGCCGCCTGTTGTTGGTACCTGGGACCCCTGCTCTGGGTGTCGCTAACACTGGACCAGGGACCCCGCTGATTGCAACATCGGGGCCCTTGCCGTAAAGGAGGGAGGCGTAGGCCTTGCTGTCTGCCGCCTTGCCAGGGGCCACTCGAAAACGAAGCTGCCACGCAGTGGGTAGCCACCAAAAGTGAAGACGTGAGAGTGGTCATTGGTGACAAAGGTCAGTGTGTCCTCCTCACTTGTGACCTGGCAGGCCCTGTCAATGGTCATCGAAACTGACAGTCTCGGTCAGCGCCAGGTCAGCCCTGCTCTTGTGATGGCCGTGGTCGGTGCGGCCCCCATCCGTGAACAGGGAGAAGCCACACGGGTCTTGCCCAGCAGGTGCAAGGCCGCCTGTGTCATCTCCGTCAGCATCGGGTCCTGCTCGGGGTCTCGGTGGGCCTCATACTTCATGCCTGGCTCAAAGAGGCCCATGAGTTGTGTTAAGGGGTGGGGTGGGGGTCCTGCGACACCTGAACGAGTGCCCTCGGTTCCACACATACCGGGCACTCGGGCGCTTGGCCTGCACTCCTGACCCAAGTTCCACCTGTCCATCCTGACTCAGCTCTGTCTGGCATCACCAGGGTACTCGGTCTGGGGTCCCCTTGGGAAACTTGCCGCCTCCACCCAGGATCACGTGAGTGTCCACGTGGGAGATGAGCCACATGGCGATGTCCTGCAGCGCGCTCAGCGCCTGGACAAGCGTGTCAGCATCCCTGTACCTTTCGCACGTGTGTGTGGGTGCCGGTGGCGGGCATGCTGCACCCTCGTTGTGGTCACCACCCCCACTGACTTCCCTGCTTCCTTGGCTCCGTTCATACAGAGGTGACCTCTTTGCCGTGTGTAGCGTTGCACCGGTTAAACCGGCCGTCACACTCACACCAGTGGTCTGGTGGTTGGTCTTGACCCCACACAGGTAGGCTGCGGTGTCCTGTGCTGACTGGCACATGTTTGTCCATGTTGTATGTCTTGGCTATAGCCAAGTATGGGAATTGGTCCATGGTAGGGGTAGGTGGGGGGGTGGGATCAGGTCCCAGCTTGCCATTCATTGGTCCCTTTAGGATCTGAGCTGCTGTCACCGTGGACACCCCCATCTCGCCCTCTAAGAAGATAATGAGGATCTTGGCAGTCATTTGGGTGGGCTGCAGCTTTTGGCGATGCCCAGGGCCTGGGCTGTCTGGTGGTGCCGAAGGCTGGGTCTTCCTCGTCAGCTGGGAGGATGCCCGGAGAAAGCTAGAACCTCAGCCCAGCAGCAGCATGCGGGCTCCCCCCACGCCTGTAGGACGGTGGAAGGTGGTGGAGCCGGGGCTCCAGAGGGGCTGGGACCCCGGAGGCTGGGAGCTGGGCGAGGCTGCGACACAGAGTCGCAGCTGCAGCTCGAGCTGCACTCTTCAAACACTGAGTGTTTGCGAAGGCTTCTGCTTTCCGCGCACACGGCTCCTTGTGGAATTCTTCAAACACTTTGAAGTGCGCCTTTCCAGTGTGATCGCTCTTTCGATACTTAAATTTCAGAGCTGTTTTAAAACGTGGGTGCACTCAAGATGGGGACGGGTTGTTTCACAGTGGCAGCTCTTTTGCCGTCAGTTTTCACCTGTTGCTTTATGTGGGCAGCTCGAACATGTAAAGATTTAAACCTTGGCCTTGATCGACAGAAAACGGAACCTGTCACCCACGTTTTTCTTCCTTCTCAGGAGTGCATCTCTTAAACTCTAAGGGTCCCCAGAAGGACTTGCTACGAGGGGAGCAATAGGTGGCAGCAGCTGGTGCTGGGCTAACCCCCTGAACCTGTCCCCAAGGCTCCCTTTTCTCTAACTTCTCAGTGAGCGGGCAAACAAAACTGTTGAACACCAATTTCCAGCTCAATTAATTACTGAATTGGTAGACAGCACCTGAAAAATGTTTATAGAAATAAATTTTTTTGTTAAAATAATTTATCACAATTAATATATACCCTCAATACGCAATTGTTTCTATAAAAATGTTCTGATAGGTATCAATAATATTGCTCAGCTTTTCATCATTATATTTTCAGCACTGTAAACTTGTGCATCAAATTGTTAAACAAATTTAATGTGTTTATGTGTATTTAATATCTCAATGGTAGGTTTTTCAAATGTGATTTTACACTATCCCTCTCCCTCCCCAAACAGTTACATTAAATTTTTTACCAAGAATGGACACATATCTATCAAGTTCACGGAACTCAATTATTTCGGAAATACCATCAACATTCACTTTAAGCATTTCCTACCTTTATTAGAATTTAAAAAAAGGTAGAAAAAAATGAATTTTAGATTTCTTGCACAGCCAAAGCTAAAACAAAATCAGGCCAAATCTTTGCAATTCAAAGTGACTAAACACCCACAAGAAACACATTGTAAAACCTGCCAATGACATGCCTGCCCAGAGGTCTGAGCTGAATTCCGTTTCAATAATTTGGATTTTTCTTCTCTTTGTCAGTGATACGGGAACCACACCTCCAGAGAGTGGTATTTTTGGATTTATGATAAACTTCTCTGCATTTCTTGGTAAGTACACAGAATTTATTATAAATAAATGAAAAATTCACAATTTCATGTGAAGGGAAATATTTGTGTTATTTACAGAGTGTGTATAATTTTTTATTATTTTTAAACAAGCCATATATATATATATATATATATATATATATAAATATATATTTTACAACAGTTTTAGGCTCACAGCAAAATTAACCACAGGTGGAGATAGCCACACAGCCCCTGCCCCCGGCCCCCAGTCACCCTCAGTATCAGCACCCCCACCAGAGTGGTACATTTGTTGATGAACCTCCATTGACACATCATTATCACCCACAGTCCGTAGTTTACATCAGGTTCATCCTTGATATGTGTCCTTTTTTTAAAGTACAACCTATGCAACTAGAATTTTGCTCTACTTTGAGAAACTAATATGACTTGAAATCCAGTTATTTATTCGTAGAACTCTTCTTCAATTTACCTGGCAATTTCCCACAAGATTATGAAATGGATTGTAAATATAATTTAATTTTTGAAATTGTGATTCATATATAATACCTTGTGTAAGCCAAGGACACCTAATGTATAAGCTAATGTTTCTCAGAGTATGTTCTAAAGGCAACTTATATGGAAATCATCTGGGGTGCTGGTTAAGATCGGGTTCCAGGGCCACACCCCAGATCTTCTCAGTCAGAACCTCTGTAGTGGGCTCAAGGACATGTGCTGCGAACCAGCAGCCCGGGGGACTTGACACTCACTAAAGCTTGAGAACCACTGACTACGGTGTTGTCTCACCTGTTAGAGACGGGGGAGGGGAAGCAGGGAAGTTTGTCTCCAACTCGGGCATGCCTTTTCAATTCCTCACGTACCCCCGAGATGCAATTGACGGGTATAACCCTCTCATGAGCCAAGTGATGTAATAACGGAAAAGCTGCACCTGCTATGGAGTGAGCGGGTCTATAGATGTAACATAGAAGGCTCTTTCTCTGTCCTTTCATAAACCCCTACCCCATGGAACAATCATGTTTGCGAGGGGCCTGTCATGCACCCAGCATTCTGTCTTTCTCTACTGCTGCAGGTGGGAGGGGACAGAGGTGCTGGAAACTCTCTTAGTGACTTGGCACCTTTAGAACTGATTCATCCTTGGTAGACAGGAAGTTTTACCCCGTCACCCATGTGTGGTCTCCTCCTACCAAGGTTTTGAAGGCGAGCAAGGGGAGGTAGACACAGTCCATTCAATTCAACTGCTCTCTTACACTGTCCCTGCCCAGAGTCCACGTTAAACATATCTGTGTGTGTGTGTGTGTGTGCATGAGTTTCTCTATAAGATAAATTCGCTGAGTTAAATGGAATAAAGATCTAAAATTTTAATAGCTATCTATTTTTTTTTCCAAACTACAAAAGAAAGTTTATTTAGAAAGTCACAGAGGTAGAAGTGAGTGGTAGAAGACATAGGCTTAGGAAACAAGTCACAGAGGCAAAAGATGGGGCCCTTGGCGCTTAGTAGAAAGAAGGGTGAGGTAATGCCCGTGGGGAGGAGGAAGGGCTGGGGAAGGCGCAGGCGTGCTCCAGTAATACTGCTTCTAGGAATTGCCTTTCAGAAACACTAAAAGTGTGCCAAAGACTTACGGACACAAGGGTGTTTATTGAGCATTGCTTGGAATAGGAAATACATAGAAATAATGTAGAAATCTATTATTAAGAGAATGATGAGCCCTGGTTGGTTTGGCTCAGTAGTTAGAGCATCGGCCCATGGACCACTGAGTCACGGGTTTGATTCCAGTCAAGGGCACGTACCTTGGTTGTGGTCCGTCCCCGGCCCTGGTCAGGTTGTGTGGGAGGCAGCCAGGCGATGTGGCTCTATCACATCGATGCTTCTCTATGTCTCTCTCTCTCCCTCCCTCCCACTCTCTCCCACTCTGTCTGATGATAAATAGAAAAGTATCCTCGGGTGAGGAATTAAAAAGAAAAAGAGAATAATGAAGTAAATGTGGCATCTCACTATATACCATGATGGGACTCCTAAAAAGGATGAGATAGACCTATGTGTACAGACATGGCAAGATCTCCATGGTACATATTCAAGTGAAAAAAAGCAAGTCCCAGAACAGGTGTATGATAGCATTTATGTGAAGAGGATAACAACCAAGAAGGGGTGTGTGTGTGTGTGTGTGTCTGTCCATCACACTGGGGAGAGAGCAAGATGGAGTGAGGAAGGACGGGTGGGTGAATGGGGACACTACTGCAGTTAGGAAAGTGAAAATACGAACTTTAAAAAAAGCTGTTTCTGTGTTTTTTATTCTAAATGGTCAAATAATACAAATTCACCCTGTACCTTTCGTTTTCAGGTGCAGCCACAATGTACACAAGATACAAAATAGTGGAAAAGCAGAACCAAACCAGCTATTTCGGCACTCCTGTTTTAAACTTGGTGTCCCTGGTTCTGGGGTTGGTGGGGTGTATCGGAATGGGCATCGTCGCCAATTTTCAGGTATGACCCGAAGTTTGCTGGTGAGGGGGTGATGGAGTATGCGTGACTGCACGGGAGAAGCAGGAACTCGAGAGCGACACTTGTGCCCGTATAGCTGTCACATAGTTGATGAGTTTCTACAAATTGGGATAATTTGCTTTTTAGAAACGAAAACCATTTGCAAGTCAGTCCTGTCTGCACTTGGGAGTGGTGGGTGCCTGACGCTGAGAAAGGGTGCGCTTTGAACAACGTCGTGGGCTTGGGTTGCCACGTCCTTACTGATGTGGTTATGTCGGAAGGACTCCTTCAGCCATTGCCATGATTTCACTAGGACAGTGAAAATATCTGTGTGTGTGTGTGCGCTGATCTTATGGTTCGAACATCTGGTGTTCAATTCAAACAACGGTGTTTGATGTCTTCCTATTTCACGGAATAGGATATAAGTACAGGGAAGTGGAGTAATTTGCTTAGGGTTCCTTAGCTAATCAGTTGCCAAGCCAAAACGGGGCCCTGCTGGAGCCAACTGCCTTTCATGACGACTGCTGTGGAGTCTGCTCGGTACAGTCTTTTTTTTTTTGGTGGTACATGCCCCTAGCGGGAACCGAACCCAGGACTCTCTGGTCCACAGGCCAACGCTCAACCGCTGAGCCAAACTGGCCAGGGCGGTAGAGTCTTACTGTGTCACGTGTTTGAACAAAACCCTGCTTGTTTTATTCTAATTTGTGGATTCCTGTTTATTCCCGAGTTCTCTTTCAAAGAAGCATGGGACCTACTTGTGTATGACATTTAATATTTTAAAAACATTTGTTGTGTTTAAATTAGAACTAACTGTTATAGTACTCCCCTCCTCGGGTGAGTGCAAGGACAGTGCCCAGAAACCAGCGGTCTGTGCGTGGTCACCATGGTCGTCGTGGGTTCATGACGTAGGCCAATGCTAGGGCGGTCATGCTTTCTCCATCCCTGTCTTCTTCTGTGACAGCAGAAAGGAATTACTCCAAGACGACTCTTTGTTTGACCCTTTAACTTTTCTCCCACCAGAGCAGGTTGATCTTGTGTGACGCTTGTTTTCCAAAAAGGTGGCAGCCTTCGCTGCTAGCAGGAGGCTGGCGTACACGTCCACACAGCGAAGCAGCAGCCTAGCATTGGTCTGCAAGGATAAGAAATAACCTCAGGCCTCCACCCACACCATCTGCTCTCCACCCATTCGATCATGCCCGCTCCTTCACGAAGGTGGACCTTTGTCACAGAGTCTTCTGTCTGACCTCTGGCCTGCCCCACCTGGGCTTCATGGAGTCACCTTTCCTGCACTGCACACGGGGATGCCATCTGCCAGTGGAGGGGGAGGGGACGGTCTATAGAGTGCTCTGGGAAAGTCAGTGCTGTGTCGGGGTGATGGGAAGGCACCTTCCTTGGGTCACACGGTATCCTCAGGACAGCCCACAGGGCCGGGATTCTCAGGTCTCAGGGCCAGCGAGGTTCCGTGTTGGGATGCTATAAATCCACAACTGTTAGTGTCCTTGTTTACGTGGGAAGCTAGGAGAGTGAGAGCCCAATAGGTAGCCTCCCTGGAGCAGGTGCACAGGGCTTCATGGAAGGCATTCTGTGAACTGGCTATGCTTCTCCGTTTCATTTTCCTATCCAACCCCCCCTTTTCTTAAAGACAAAGATAGTTTAATGTTGAATTGGCCAATATGGAGACAAGGAGCTTGTGCTCTAACCAGCTGACTCCCCGATGCTGTATCGGTTACAGATCATATAGGGCAAAATCACGAGACACCATGGGTTAGGGGTTCGGGTGGTGCTGGGAGCTGATTGGTCGGAGGTGAGGAAAGGGTAGTGAATCATTTCTTCAGGTCTTGAGGACAATTCTGAAGTCTGTTTGGGGTCCCTCTGTCTGGTGTCATGGGAAAGTAGCCAGGGGGTCATTCCACCTTAGGGCTCAGGAGCTGATACCTAACCTAAATCAAGGTGGTATCTTTAGCCTGCCAGAGGTTTGGACCCTGTGACCACTAGCCAGGTCTGGGCCACTGCCTTCTGCTGTCTTGGGGGTTGCTGATTACTGGGGAAAGGCTAGGTCTCTGTGGTACAGAGCAGCGATTTTCAACCTTTTCCATCCCATGGCACACATAGACTAATTACCAAAATTCTGCGGCACACCAAAAAATACATTTTTTATTGATCTAACAACAAAAATAGGCAGTGTTTTGATTCATTCCCACCAGATGGCTATCATTGTATTTAGCTGTTGTCATTTTTTTATTTGACAATCCAAGGGAAAGAAGGTCAGTTCCCCTGAAAATAGTCAGGTACTGCATGTTTTAAAAATTCTTATGACACACTAGTTGAAAACAACTGAAGGAGAGAGAGAGAGAGAGAGAGAGAGAGAAAGAGAGAGAGAGAGAGAGAGAGAGAGAGAGGAGAGAGAGAGGAGGGGAGAGGGAGAGCTCACTTTCCTACTCCATTGTCCCTGTATAGCGAAATCGGACACACCGTGTTGCAATGCAGGGTTGCACATGACATTTGCCACATGGTAGAGACTTGTGACCGTTCCTTATGTCTTTTTTGTTTGTTTCTTTTCTTTATTGACTTTAGAGAGAGAGGCACAGAGAAGGTGAGAGAGATAGAAACATCGACTGGCCGCCTCCTGCACGCCCCCCGCTGGGGATCGGGCCCACAACCTGGGCATGTGCCCTGACCGGGAATCGAACTGGTGACCTCCTGGTGCATGGGTCAGTGCTCAACCACTGAGCCACCCCGGCTGGGCTTTCCTTATGCTTTATGACTGGACTCATTTTGTTTTTCATGACATGTACTGAAACTCTATGTAATATCTTTATGAAAACATCCAGTGTTTTAATTCCCATAACTCCAACAACAGCCCCAGCAGATAGGTAGCAGACTTTTCCTCATTCTCAGTGAAGCAGCGGAGGCCCAGAGGGCTTAACACTTACCCAAGATCGTCTGAGCAGTAAAGGCATCGAAGTTTGGAACTGCGGGAGAGAGTAACCGCGGTGCCACAATGAGGAAATCTCTGGGAGAAAAAACGCGTGTCACCATTCAGAGGGTTCTGGCATCAGGAAGCACAGTGGGAAAAATAAGGGAGGAACTGGAATGACATCATTTGTCTAGTCAAGTGTGGATAGGAATTGTTTAGTATGCACTGATATTCTAATCACTTTCTTCTCCAAATCACTCAACGTGGTAAGTGATACACCTGTCAGTGTCTGAGCCACCAAGGGAGACTTTCGGAAGAACCCTTGCGTGGCTGGATCGCTGAGCTCCTGGGTCTCCTGAAGCCTTCCATGACGTGAGTGCATTTTCACAAGCACCAGCGACGGAATCGGTATCTCTCCCGAGAGCAGTGTTTGCCTTGTCCTTGTTCCGACGAACACATCTTCACAGCTTCCTGTAATTCATTTCAGAGCGAACTGACTCGAGCTGTTACCTCGAGAAGAATGAGAGATGCAAGGGGGAGAGAGAGCGTTGGGTCGGTGGTTTTTCCTGAGCAGGAAGTAAATTGTGTTAACAGAGGCTCACGGATATAGCTCCCTTTCCTGAGCTGGTGGGTGGGAGCGCTACTTTGGGGTTTGTCCTCAACCAGTTTCTGCCTCTGCTGTGCTTTTCCTCGAGAAGTTTCCTTTGGAAAAGTCAAGTTAGCCAAGGTTTAACAATCTCAATATTCTAGTGTTCTCTCTTTTTACTGTCTTTTCAGTTAACAAGAGAGTTTTGAAAAAGAGATCTAAAAAAGGTGCCAGTTTTGCTTCTGTTTGTTTTGATCCTCACCAGAGGATCCCTTTACATTAATCTTCAGATAGAGCTGGAGGGAGAGAGGGAGGAAGAGAGAGAGAGAGAGAGAGAGAGAGAGAGAGAGAGAGAGAGAGAGAGAGAGAAGAGAAGAGAAACATCGATGTGAGAGAGACACATCAATTGGTTGCCACCTGCACAACCCCAACCGGAGCCGGGGACAAACTGCAACCGAGGTACGTGCCCTGTGATTCTTTGGTCCACAGGCGACGCTCTTACCACTGAGCCAAACCAGCCAGGGCAAGATGCCAGGTTTTCATCCTATCCTCTGTCCAAGATTCATGTCTGATCTAAGAATCTTTTTTTTTCTTCAAAAAGGCATCTTCGCTGAGAGTACACATTCCCAGGACATATACAGTTCCCACTCCAGGGTTAATGTGGGGTTTATGCAGTTTGCAGATTCAGTTCCTAAAAGATATGTTGATTTGGGCAGGGTGGAGGAATCAAATCCCTTGACAGTGCTGGTGGGAAGGAAAAAGTATGTAAATTCAGAATGTTGACTTAGCATGAAAAAAAAAAAGTGGAGGTTGGAAAAAACCAGGATTCTCAGAAGATTATTCCTGGAAATGACTCAGTAGTAGATGCCTTGCTTTTTGTTTATTTTTCTTTGACCACATGTGCCTAATGTTCTAGTGCAGTGGTTCTCAACCTTCCTAATGCCGTGACCCTTCAATATAGTTCCTCGTGTTGTGCTGACTCCCAACCATAAAATTATTTTCGTTGCTACTTCATAACTGTAATTTTGCTACTGTTATGAATCGCCATCAGAAATATGTGTTTTCTGATGGTCTTACGTGACCCATAGGTTGAGAACCACTGTTCTAGGGTGAAAAGGTTTTGTTTTTCTTAATTGTTTTAAAAGGATTTGTTTTCCTTAAATTTTTTAAAACTTTTTTTTGGTTTAATAAAAGTTTTATTAAGGTATCATTGATATATAACATTGTATTAGTCCAAGGTGTATAACATAATGATTTGATATATGTATATATTGTGAAATGATCAACACAATAAGTTTAGTTAACATTCATCACCTCTCATAGTTACTTTTTTCTTGAAATGAACACTTTTAAGATTTAGTCTCTCTCTCAAAAAAAAATGTTACTTAGCAACTTTTGAAAATACACTTTTATTCAATATAGTCGCCATGCTGCATACTGTATATTACTGAATAGTTTTTATCTTTCAGCAGGAACTTCTTACCTTTAGACACCTTCACCCATTTCTTCCCTCCTCCACTCCCCACCCCTGTGACCACCAGTCTGTTTTCTGTATATGTGAGTTTAGTTTGTTGTTTGTTTTTAAAGATTTTTATATAAGCGAGGTCGTCCAGTATTTGTCTTTCTTTTTCTGGCTTATTTCAATTACCATAATGCCTTCAGAACCATCCATGTTGTCATAAATGGCGAGATTTCTTTTATTTATTTTTTTTTCTTTTTCTTTTTTTAATTTTATTTTTGTTACAGATGTTTCTCCTTTTTTACCCCATTGACACCCTCCTCCCGAGATTTCTTTTAAATGTTTCTTTAAAAAAAATTTTTTTTCTTTATTGATATTAGAGAGAGAGAGAAAGGGAGAGGGAGAGAGAGATAGAAACATCGATGAGAGAGAACATCAATTGGCCACCTCCTGCATGCCCGCCACTGGGGATCAGGCCCACAACCTGGGCATGTGCCCTGACTGGGAATCAAACTGGCAACCTCTTAGTGAATAGGTTGAAGCTCAACCACTAAGCCACATCAGCCAGGTGGCAAGATTTAAAAAAAAAAAAACCCACAAAACTTATCTTTATTGTTGAAAGTATTATAGATGCCCTTCCTCCCTACTTTCCCCTCCATTGACCCCCTCCTCCCTGCTCCAACCCTTCTCCTGCCTTCCCCACACTAAGATTTTTTCTTTTTTATGGCTGAATAATATTCCATTGTGTGTGTGTGTGTGTGTGTGTGTGTGTGTGTCTGTATAATGGACACTTAGGTTATTTCCACGTCTTGTCTATTATAAATAATGCTGCAATGAACATGAGGGTATAGATATCTTTTTGAGATGATGATTTCATTTCCTTTGGATTATAATTATTTTTTAAATTATGGTAAAATACCAGTAACATCTAATTTACCATCTTAACCATTTTTAAAAATTGATTTTAGAGAGAGTAAGAGAAAGGTAGAGAAAGAACATCGATGTGAGAAAGATCAGTTGCCTCTCATACACACCCTGACTGGGGATGGAACCCACAACCTAGGTATGTGCCCTGACTGGGAATCAAACCCACCACCTTTCGGTGTATGGGACAATGCTCCAACCAACTGAGCCACGCCAGCCAAAATATAGCATCTTAACCATTTTTAAGTGTACAGTTCAATGGTTATTTTTTTTAAATTCTTTAAGTACTTAAAGGTATATATACATTTTTTTTTATTAATTCTCACCCGAGGATATTATTCTATTTATCTTCAGACAGAGAGGGAGGGAGGGAGGGAGAGAGAGAGAGAAAGAGAGAGAGAAACATGGATGTGAGAAGTACACATTGATTGGTTGTCTCCCACACGACCACGACCCCAGCCAGGGCCAGGAACAAACCACAACCAAGGTACATGCCCTTGACTAGAATCAAACTCATGACTCTTTAGTCCTCAAGCCGATACTCTAAGTGCCAAGCCAAATAGGCCAGGGCTATTTGTACATTTTAAAAGGAGTAGAATGTATTTTATTTTTCACATATAACTTTCCTAAATCTATATGCCCATTCTCAATATCCTAACTATACAGAATCTGTACCTACTAAATGGAAAATTGATATGTCATGTTATGATTGTTAACACAGTTTTATTTGAATATAACACAAATCAAGTGGTTATATTCCTAGGTTTGCTACCTGGCAATAAAAATTTTTAAAGATCCCCCTTTCCCATTTGGAGAATAAAGATTTTTTAAAAAAGAGTTTGAATGAAAATTGATTCAAATTACCCTGTGCCCAACTGGAAGTAATGTAAAGAATAAAGATTTAATATGTTTTTTGGTGAGCAGTCTGGATGGAGAACACAGTGGGTGTACGGAAACCTGGGTGGTCAAAAAAAACAAACAATCTGGAGAACAGGTGTGGACAGTGAGTTAAGCCAAAATCAGGCTTTCTCGGACAATACTTGAACTTGTTCTTTTGTAAAATTAAAAATTTTAAGTTCACGTGGAGACTCACTCATTCAATCATTGTTATACCAGAAGGTAGGTGCCCATTGAACATTTGAAAGGAGCCTAAAGTGAGCTCCCTGATGGGTCTGTTAGGACCACATCTGGGGCTTTCTGCCTAGACTGGCTTCTTGTTGAGCTGGCTAGGGGCCAGGGACTTGATTTGAAGTTGTCTTCGCATTGCAAGAGTAGTGTTTTACTTAGATTTGTGTGTTCATTTGGGGTAGTTTGGGAGGGACAAATAGAGATTATTGGGGTGCAGGGAGCCTAAAAACCCCAAGCCACCCTTGGCACCTTCGTGTACTTTTGAATGCAATTGATCCACAAAGCTTCAATGCAGACCTGCAAGGCAGAAATTATTATGCCCATTTTACGGATCAGAAATTGAGGTTTTAAACGAAGGTCGCAAAGCTCAGTGGTGGAGTCAAGATTTTTTTATCCAGGTCAGCCAGACTCCACATCCCACTCGCCACCTCTAAGGTGGACATCACTCTGTCCTTATCCCCGGTGCCCCAGTTTGAGGTGAACATTTACTTCCTTGTGGGGAAAGACTTGACTCTTGGTGATCTTGTGCAAGCCGCCGCATTGCCCACAGGCCAGGGCGTGCACATCTGTGATGGCTTCGCACAGCCCAGAGGGAGCGAGTGCGGGGGTGTGTGGGGTGAGCAGGCTCACGTGGGGTAATGCATACCTGTGACTTTCTCTCTAGGAGCTGGCTGTCCCCGTGGTCCACGATGGCGGCGCGCTTCTGGCTTTTGTCTGCGGGGTGGCATACACGTTCCTGCAGTCCATCATCTCTTACAAATCGTGCCCCCAGTGGAACAGCCTCCCCACGTGCCGCACGCGGATAACCATCTCTCTCATTTCCTGCGCCGCTGTCGTGCCCAGTATCCTTTTTACATTTGTCGGTGTCCTTGCAAGCTGAACACCTTCCCCTACCCGCCCCCCAGCAAAAAAAAGAAAAAAAAGAAAAAGAAACAAAGGTTAACAGCCAGGTTTCCATAACTTCAGAAGAACCTTTGGGAGAAAAGTGTAAATCATTAAGAATGTCTCAACATGGCCAGGTTACATCAAAAGAATGTTCAGGGGGATAGAAGGTATAAAAGGAAGGATGGAAAAATGTCAGAAAACTTCAGTCTCTATTTACTTTCTTTCCACCAGGGGCGGTTTGACCAGCCACGTGAAAGTATTTATTTTTCTTTGGAGTGCTTGGCTAAAGACACCAAATATTGATATTGTACTTAAAGTAATAGCCCTGTGAAGTCCTAAAAGGTCAGAATGTCCTTCCTGCCTGTCGTGAATAGATGGTTTGATTTTCTCATTCATATTAGGAGTTTTTTAAAAGCTCTGTATTATTTATTTCCAAGTCAGGTAAAATATATGTAGCCTTTTCTTTTTATTTCTGATTTTATTTTCAAAATTGTATTTCATTTTTTAATTTAACAACGGGAAAGAAAAATATGAATTTATCAGGCTTGTATGTCCTGATTTAGAGGAAATAAAAATTTCTCTCTCTCTCAGCATTAAACAAAGAACATAAAAAAAAGCTATGGTCTTCAAGGGGTGGAAAATTCCCCATCTTTCCAAACACCATCTGCACTCCTATCAGAGAAAACTGCAGAGTCATTAAAAATGGTGATTACAACCTGGCTAGTTTGGCTCAGCAGTTAGAGCATCGGCCTGCAGACCAAAGAGTCCCAGGTTCAATTCCAGCCAAGGGCACGTACCTCCACGTCCCTCGGTTGCAGTTCATCACCGGCCCTGGTTGGGGTTGTGGGGGAGGCAACCAATCTATGTGTCTCTATCACACAGATGTTTCTCTCTCTTCCTATCTCTAAAAAAAAAAAGAAAGAAAGAATATCCTCAGGTGAAGATGAACAAAAAAGTAATAAAGTTCACTAATCTTTAAAAAAAAGTAGTGATTACTATTATGTTATAAGAAAATAGGAACTATTCTATTAGGCATTTTGTTAGTCTGGGTTGGACTGCGGTATCAAGCGGGCAAGCCTGAGTGATAACATACCACGTGCTTCTAATATTAAGCTTTGTGTTGCTCTTTTCAAACAAGCTGTACACAATGCAAACTTTGCGCATGTTCTTGGGTTTTGTTTTTATCCTAGGCAAGGAAATTTTTAATTACAAAATTTGTAAGCACAGAGGAAACCAATGCTAGTGTTAAGAAATTCAGTGACAAAGTATATACCCTAAGATAGTTCCTTCTCAGTTCTCTTGTGTTCCTGGACTGAAGACATTCATCCTTTCTCTTCAGATGTGTTTCCTTCAGACCTTTAGCTTGTCTAGTTGTGAAATGCAGAGCAGAAGTGTTTGTAGCCTTAAATGCAGAGTTTCTTGGTGTAGAAACCCTTCTCTTCCAACTCTGGAGACAGATCTCTAAATACTAAAATCAGACAGAGTTTTGACACAATAAGCACTTTAGACCTCAGAATTTCGCATACTGTGAGTTCCCATTTCTTGACGGTTCACTGCCCCATGCACACAGAAAACAGGGTATGTCCCTGTATCACATTAACTCGAACAAATTCATCCATGTGCAAAGTCTTGGGCCTTAAACATTAGTGTGGTATTTATATTTACTTACACGTAGTTCAAAACATAGTTGAAATGCCTTTGTTTCTCCTTACTGTCATATTTCTGTGAAACGGCCTCATTTATTTATTTAATTATTTTTAAAATATGTTTTTATCGATTTTTTCAGAGAAAGAGATAGAAACATTGATGAGAGAGAGAAACATCGATCGGCGGCCTCCTGCACGCCCCCCACTGGGGATCAAGCCTGAAACCCCAGCATGCGCCCTGACCTGGAATTGAATGGGGACCTCTCAGTCCATGGGATGACGCTCAGTCCACTGAGCCACACCAGATGGGCAAAATGGCCTCATTTAACTAGTGAAGAAATGGAGGCACTTTAGGATTAGGCTTCTAAGCCCTTCCTGGTGAACTGTCTTGCAGCAGCTTCTACAGTGTTGCCTTCACAAAATAACTGGCAGCACAAAGTCCAGGTTCCTTTGCGTGAGACACGTGCTCTGAGATTCCCCAGACGTGGCTGTTTCCTGTCCTCTGCTTTTGCCCGCTGTCCTTCTCCTGACTGAACACCACCCCCTCCACCTTGTCTTTCCAGCCAATATGGTAGTCACGGGCCACATGTGGCTGTTATGCACTTGAAACGTGGTTAGTCTGCACTGAGATGGGCCGTGGTGTAAAATACACACCAGATTTCAAAGACCTAAAAAAAAATGTAAATTATCTCATTAATAATTCTTTATATTATTACATGTAGAAATAATAATATTTTTTATCTATTGTGTTAAAGGAACTATATTATTATTATTATTTTTTCTTTATTGATTATACAGAGAGGAAGGGAGAGGGGGAGAGAGAGAAACATTGATGAGAGAGAACATCAATTGGCTGCCTCCTGCATGCCCCCCACTGGGGATAGGGCCCACAACCTGGGCATGCGCCCTGACCAGGAATCGAACTGGCAACCTCTTGGTGCATGGGTTGAGCCACACTGGCAGGACAAGGAGCTATATTATTAAACTTGATTTCATTTGTTCTTTTTCAGTTTTCTTAAAATGTGGCTGTTTGCAGCAAAACAGCACTAGTTGTTACTGGTGATTGGACCTTGATTCAGCCACCTCAGTACTTGAGTTGTGGCTAATAATGAATTCAGAGCCAAGACTCAAATACAAGAAAAATTTATTTAGAAAGTCACAGAGGTAGAAGTGAGCCATGAAAGAAGTGAGCCAGCTGGTCTGCATGGGCTCAGGGAACAAATTACAGAGGCAAGGGGAGGACCCTTGGAGCTTAGGAGGAAGAAAGGCAAGGAGAACGCACCTGGGGAAGGAGCGGGGAAAGGTCGGGATGGTCCCCAGAGAGTGCACACGGGGGAAAGAAGGGAGTGGGGAAAGGAGCTGGCGTGCTCATGAGAGAGGGCGGCGGAGAGAGAGAGCCAGGTCCTCCATCCTAAGAGTTTTTATCCCCTTTTTAAAAGCAGGGGTCTTAGGGGAGGTTGTGGGGAGGATCTCCGTAGCATAGTCACCAGCTTTTTCAGGTGTGTCCTTTCAGGGTTGTGTGTGGTCGGTGTCAGGGCAGGGGTCCTTTGCCATCGGAGCAGGTCCTGATGTCAGCCATGGCGTTGCCCCTCCTGGCCTGGCTTTTCTGGGCTTGGAGCTGAAACACTACCGAGGCCTAGATGTTATCTCCAGTTTAACCAAAACTCTGTCTCTCTGGTCAACAGACCTGAGGCTGTGCTTCCAAAATAATTGGGTGTGGGTCAGAACCTCATTGTCCTGAGGGCTTAATGCTTAATGAGTGATAGTTGAGGGAGTCATACGAGGCTTGTTCCTCCCCTAAGAGGGGCCTAGACCGCATGACTAGTGATAAGCTCGGGGAGGACAGGTCGCCCTAGGGCGAGGTCCTTGTTTTCCGGGTTTTGCCCGTAGCTAGATACCTGGGGCTTTCCACCCTGGTGACATTGCACACCTGGCCTGTCCCTCCTGCTCCACTCATGCCTGTCTAACTGCCTACTACGCAGCTGCTACAGTGGAAAATTTAACATTCCACAGGTGGCTGGCATCATGTTCCCGGGGGGCAGCTCTGCCCCAGAGGCTCCTGAAACCTTGTCGCTTAGAGTAAGTTCACGTCATTCCACTCTGAGTCATGACTTTTCCCTCTTCCTCAGCACTGTGCTGCACGTTCCTCTCACCCAGCAAAGTCCTGCTCTTCCTTTGGCAAGACAGCACTGCATCTGAGAGCTGGGACCCAGCTGAGACCCGGTCCACTTGGCCAGTGTTTCTCCCGCCTCTTCCTCTCCCCCTGCAGCGTGGTACCTGGCGCCCAGAGAGTGGAACTGAAAAACTAATAAGGGAGCCCGGCAGTGTGGCTCAGTGTGTTGACCCAGGCACCAAGAGGTCGCCAGTTTGATTCCCAGTCAGGGCACATGCCCAGGTTGTGGGCCCGATTCCCAGTGGGGGGCATGCAGGAGGCGGCCAGTCGATGTTCCCTCTCATCGATGTTTCTATCTCTCTCTCCCTTCCTCTCTCTCTCAAAACAGTAAAGAAAAAAAAATTAAAAACAAACAAATAAATGAAAGAATTAAGAGGCTTTAAAACTATTTGAAACAGAAGTATGATGATAAAAGGGTCCGAGAATCTATGCTTTTTTGTTAGTTTTGAAAAACTGAGAAGTGCTAAGATTGCAACATATGGGGGTAGGTGCGGAAGAGGAGACTGTAAACTTGGCATCGAGGCAACACTTCGAATTTCTGACATTTTGTAAAACCTTTGTTAGAGCATCTCATGTCTCTCTAACTTTCTCTTTTGCCTTCAAATTTCAGTCGAAATGGATGTCACCACCTTTGTGCCAACAGCACTGTCCTTGGAGGGCAGTAGACTCAGTCCCTGGCAGTGTGAGGCTGGCCCAAGGTCAGATGCAGGATGTAGCTCTTGGATTTGTAAAATCCTTTGGGCTTGGGAGGAAGGGCTCAGCTTATAGCCAAATACTCAACAGAGGTCTGTTTTTAAAAGATAATAGTTTGAATTTCTGTAGCTTGTTTTTGTATGTGAGCCTTGGTACTTTGAAATGTTAATTTTTCCATAAAGATGTTGCCTTGAAAATAGTATTTTAGGGAAAAAGCATTTTTGTTGTTATTAATCCTCACCCAACGATATTTTCCATTGATTTTTAGATAACGTGGAAGGGGGGGAGGGGGGGATAGAGAGAGAGAAACATTGATGTGAGATTGTTTGCCTCTAGAATGACCCCGACCTGGGCTGAGGATCGAACCTAAAACCCAAGTATGTGCCCTTGACTTGACTTGAACCCACGACCCTTTGGTCCTGGGGCTGATGCTCCAACCACTGAGCCAAACCGGCCAGGGCAGGAAAAAGCATTTTTTTTTTTTAATCCTCATCCGAGGACATTTTTCCATTTTTTTGTATACAGACAGAGTGGGAGGGAGAGAGAGGAAGAGAGAGAGAGGGAAACATCGATGTGAAAGGGACACATCGAGTGGCTGCCACCCGCACAACCAACCAGGGTCGGGGACAAATTGCAACCGAGGTACATGCCCTTAGCGGGAACCGAACCCGGGTCTCTCCGGACCGCAGGCGGACGCTCTAACCGCTGAGCCAAACCGGCCAGGGCAGGAAAAAGCATTTTTATTCAATATTTTTATTTAGGCAAAGTAGTATTTGGGGGAAAGGTACTCAGAAAATACCCACCTTGGATGGTTGTATCAGTCACTTTGACCACATTTATTTGTTTGTTAATCCTCGATTTTTTCCACTGATTTTTAGATAGAGTGGAAAGGGGGGAGGGGAAGAGAGAGAAAAAAAACACACCAATTGGTCACCTCCTGAACGTGGTCGGGAATTGAACCTATAACCCAGGGGTCATGTAACCCAGGAACCCATGACGCTTCAGTCTGTAGGCTGACACACTGACCGCTGAGCCAAACTGGCCAGGGCTACTTTGACTACATTTAAACGTCTAGTGTCACTGGGAACAATACCGAGAAAAAAGCAGGGGTTGAGTGAAACGTAGCCACAAACTAAAATTTCGCTATGCACAACTGAAAGAGTATTTGCTAAGGAATAACTGTATTTCCACATTGTCATTTAACTGTTGTCAGAATTGAATGGAAGGTTTGCTTATAAGAAGCTGATATAGACTATTTTGATTGCAGAGATGTTGGTATTAATAGTTTTTATTCTGTTAAAGTACACACAACAAAATTTACCATCTTGACCATTTTTCAGAGTATAGTTCAGTGGTGTTAAGTACACATTGTTCAGTTGTCACCATCATCCGCTCCATAAAGTTTTCTCTCGTAAAGCAAAACCTATACCCATGAAACAACTCCCTCTTGTCCTCTCCTCCTGTCAGAAACTATTATTCTACTGACTTCAGGATTCTGACCACTTTAAGTACTTCAAACAAGTGGAATCACATAGTCCTTGTGTTTTAGTAACCGGCTTGCTACCCTTAGCTTAATGTCCTCAAGGTTCATCTGTGTTGTAGCATATTGCAGAATTTTCTTCCTTTTTTAAGGCTGAATAATACTCCACTGTTTGCATGTACCATACTTATCCATTCATCTGTCAACAGACCCTTGGGTGGCTCCCAAATTTTAGCTGTTGTGAACATTGCTGCTATGAACATGGATGTACAAATATCTCTTTGAAACCCTGCTCTCAATTCTTTTGGGTTTGTCCCCCAAAGTGGAATCGCTAGATCATACGGTAATTCTAGTTTAATTTTTTGAGGAACCTCTGTACTGGTCTCCATAGTGGCTGCCCCAGTTTATATTCCCACCAAGAGCACAAGGGTTCCAGTCTCCGCATCCTCACCAACACTTGGTGTTTCCTGCTTTTTCAATAGTCGCCATCCTAATGGGGGTGAGCTGAAACATATAAACGCTGTGTAATTCTATTATTAGAAGAAGAATCTAGTTTTAACATTAAAGGACCCATTTTCTTCAGTACTTTCCCTAACCATTTCCTTTTTTTAGTGATTGCCTGTGCTTCACTAATTTCCATAACCAAGCTGGAGTGGAATCCACAAGAAAAGGTAAAACTCAAGTCATGTTCAATATGATTGTCAAACCTTGGTCACAAGAGGCCGTGGCTGGGTGCGGCCTTAGAAAGAATCACGACCGTTTCTTGGAACAAGTCGTAAAATATGAAGTCAATAATTAAGTTACTGTCCAATTATTTGGCAGTTCATGGGTCGTAATTAGCTATTGGGGTAATTCCAGTTGGCTCCTGAGATTAGTTTAAAAAATTTGATTTCCTAGTTCTCTCTGAAACGCTTCATCTGGGGTTGGTAAAGAGGTCGAACGTATAAAGGTAGGGCAACGTGGATGGCGCTGTGTAAGCCCGACGAAGCATGGACGAGCCCGCTCCCGTGAGGGTGGATAGTGCAGCCCAGGATAGAGTGAGACATGAACAGTCAGGGATAAATCTTCAGGGACAAGTTTGTTCAAGGCTTTAGGCGGTGGAAAGAGGTGCTCATGCCTGAGTTAGGTGACCAGAGTAAGCCTTTGAAGGCATTTGGACAGGAAAGTAAGGTGAGAGAATATTACTGGGTGAATATTAGCCTGGGATGGGTTGAAGAGGAGGGAGCTCAGGGTTAGGATGGCAGAGAAGGCAGTTGAGATTCCAAATCAAGATCAGCCTAGACTGATTAGGAGTAATAGGGGGGAAATATTTAAAAAATTTTTTTTCTTTTTTTTTTTAATCCTCACCTGAGGACTTTTTTTTTTTCTTCCATTTTTTGTTTGGATAGAGTGGGAGGGAGAGAAAGAGAGAGAAATATCGACATGAAAGGTACATGTCAAGTGGTTGCCACCCTCACGACCCAACCAGGGCCAGGGACAAACTGCAACCAAGATACATGCCCTTAGCAGGAACCGAACCCAGGTCTCTCTGGACCGCAGGCCGGCGCTCTAACCACTGAGCCAAACCGGCCAGGGCAAAAAAAGTTTTTTTCTTTATGTTTTAGAGAGAGAGGAAGGGAGAGGGAGAGAGGAACATCGATGAGAGAGAATCGATTGGCCGCCTCCTGCATGCCCCTCACTGGGGATTAGGCCCACAACACACAACATGGGCATGTGCCTGACCAGGAATCGAACCGGCGACCTCTTGGTGCATGGGTCGATGCTTAACCACTGGGCCACACCGGCTGAGCTAGGGGGGAAATACTTGACGAGCGCTGGCACGTGACTTATATGAGAATGAAAGGGCATGATGAATCAAAGGTGACTTCTTGGGTGAATCAAAGAATTTGTTCTCATGAACAGAGAGATGGAGTCCTTAACAGGATACATTATTTCGTGGGAGGACATTTGTGGATTTGGTTTTAGAATTGTTGAGTCTGGGGCTATAGTAAAACATCAAGGAGACATGTCCAATTAGACACATGGGACTAGACCTCTGGTGGGCTCGAGAGCCATCAGAGCACAGGGTGGAGTGACCGGTCACTTTCAGACCAAACATCACAGCACCTGGGACTGAAGGTTTGGATTTGAGATGGACTCATGCCCTTAGATACTTGCAAGTGATGGTTAATCCAGATGCCATACAGAGAATGAATGACGCCCCAGGAGAGGAGTGTTTTTTTGTAGGAACCTTTTTTTTAGGGGAAGGTGGCATTACTGATGTTATTCAAAATGCAGTTTCAATTAAAAATGTTGGCTTTGAAAGTCAGTTGCAGGAGGTTAAAGAAGTGTTGAGTGGAGTCTTCATTTATTCAGCTGTCAATGAATGCTTGGAGGTTAGAGGAAGAGGAGAAATAAGATGAAGGTACTGGGGACAGGGTGGTCAGAGGATTCGGCATGCGATGGGAGCCTGCAGGAGACAAGGGAGAGGCTGAAGATGCTGAGGGGGAGAATGATTCAGACAAATTCGAACAACGTGCTTCCTGCAAGCAAGACCTCACTCAGAGCAGCCTCGGGTGTGCTTTACTTTTCAACCGCTGGGGGGAGATCTTCCCTCACAAATCAAACAAAATTCAGCTGCTGGGAACGATTCGTCAAAGCATATCCCCAGGCGATAAAAAATCTTTTCTTTTTCATTTCGCTTTTAATCTTAAAAATGTGAAAAGTACCTGGTTTTCTAGTCACTCCATAAATTACCATGCCACTCTTGGATTGCCTTCTGATCCCAATACCAACAAATGAAAAGAAAGTCCTTTGCGTTAATTCGCTGAATGGAATAAATAAGGTCCAGGTGCTGCCTCCTCACTGTGTACTGCCTCAGAGCAGTCCTGTGACTGGCTGACTTGCGGGGAGGGAGAATTAGGATGTCACTGGCTCACCTCGTGTAGCACGTACAGGGCTCTGCCTGCACCCCGGCTTGGGTAGTGGAGGGCTCTGGACTTCTGGTTCAGCTACTTTCATTAATATCACGCCGAAGAAATTTCTGCCGTAATTTTATAAGCTATCGTTATTGTCCCGGGATGATAAGGGGATGGGACAGATCCCCTGGTGCTGTCACCGAAAGGGGCCACCTCTGTTCTCTACCCTAGTGTACGTTGGTCAGGTTCTCCCCAAGGTGGCCCAGAGCAGAAGAGTGGACGGATGGTAACGTCCATGGGGGGAGTGAGGAGAGGTGTCTGAGAGCGTATGTGCCTCCGTTAATCTTTGCGGATGAAAAGTGGATCGAAGGAAACGACTGTCACCATAGAACTGACTTGCAATCCAACACATTTGTTCATTCACACCTGTGGTCTGTAGGCCAGGTCACCTTTTGAAATCAGAACTGGCAGTCCACCGGCCTAAATAGGCAAGTGCATAACGTCAAAATGCAGACGTTAGTTTTTTACTTGGATGGTATTTAAAAATGTATAAAAAGTTTCCAGCATTTAAAAATCAGGAGGTCACACACACACACACACACACACACACACACACTTTTTCTTTTTTTAAAAGCAACGCTGGTGTCACCTTTTCCGCAGTTGAGTTGATAAGCATGGGCTCCCACTTTTTTCTCCTTTTGCAACTATCAGTTTTATTTATTTTTATTAATTTCCTGGCCTTCGTAGGCAGCTGATTTTGGAACCCCAATTAAAGCTAGTCTCCTTTTTTAAATTTTTTTGTTCCTCGCCTCATGATATTTTTCTATTTATCTTCTGATAGAGTGGGAGGGAGGGTGAGAGAAAGAGAGAGAGAAATGTCGATGTGATAGAGCAACATCGAGTGGCTGCCTCCCACACGACCCGACCAGGGCCGGAGACGAACAGCAACCGAGGTACGTGCCCTTGACCGTAATCTAACCCGCGACTCATTGTGGGCCGATGCTCTAACCACTGAGCAAACCGTTAAGGGTGCTATTCTCGTTCTTGCTGTCCGTTCTCCTTTCTGTCCCTAAGAAGACAGGGAGTGGGTACAGACGTCCCATTAGCATTTGCTTTGTAGCTATGTTTACATAGCTTTTAAGCAGAACTGTGTTCTGAACTGACATTTTCTGTAGGAGCAGAGAACACAAAACCCGGTTGACAACAGTTAGCCAGTTTCCTCTAGATACACACACCCAGTCTCTGGAACAGCCGCAGGAACGCTGAATGCTCTTCAGCCTGGGGACTCCCAGCCTCTGGAGAGCAAGTCCTGCTCTGCCTGCGAAGTTCTGTCTCTGCGGGGTCCACGTTTGCTTCTCATTCCCAGCCATTCTGTGGCCCTTCTTCTGCGGTTTGAAACTGTGTCGGCAAGTCCTAATGCCAGAGCGTGTGAGAGCCAGGGGGTACTTCTGGAATAATTGCACTCACGTTCTCACGGGGCAGGTGCTCTGCTCTTCACCAGCGAGGCTCGCTGGCGGTATTTCCTCAAGGGGTGGATGGATGCTCCCCAGACAGCTTTGTCCTCCGGCCTGACCTTCTCATTATTATTTCAGTGCATCCACCAAAGTGAATCGGTTTAGGCTAACTTCTCTTTTTTTTGGATTGTCATTAGGATTATGCATATCACGTGGTGAGTGCGACCTGTGAGTGGACAGTGGCGTTTGGTTTTATTTTCTACTTCCTAACATTCATCCATGAGTTCCAGGTAGGTATTTACCGGTTTAAATGTTATAAATTGCTGACAATTGGGATTGGAAGAAAGCCAGAGTGAATTTCTTGCATAAGAAAATAAGAGCATGCTTTTTCTTTCTTTTTACTATTATGTGTTTGGGAAAAATATGTATTGTGCAACTTAGTTTATTCCCAAAGGCAAGCGGCTTTGACAGCTCTCCCAGCCAAGGAGGTTTCCGCGTGTCCTCTGCGGTGTGATGTTTGTGGTTGTACATTCTGGTGCTTTTCTTTTTGAGGAGGTCTCATGAACTGGCTCCAAATAATAGAAAATATGTCTTTTTGTTTTATTTTATTTACTTTTTATTGTTGACAGTATTACAGATCTCCCCCATTTCCCCCCTCTTCGCCCACCTCTGTAAATGTTTTTTAAATACATTTTTATTTATTCATTTATTTATTTATTTTGGTACATGCCCCTAGCAGGAACTGAACCCGGGACTCTCTGATCCACAGGCCGACGCTCCAACCGCTGAGCCAAACCGGCCAGGGCTATTTATTTTTATTTTATTTATTTTATTTTATTTTTTAGAGAGAGAGAGAGAGGAAGGGAGAGGGAGAAAGAGAAACATTGATCGGCTGCCCCCTGCACGCCCCCTGCTGGGGGTGAACCAGAAAATCGGGCATGTGCCCTGACCGGGAATTGAACTGGTGACCTCTTGGTGCATGGGACAATGCGCAATCCACTGAGCCACACCGGCCGGGCCATAAATATGTCTTTTTGAAAAATTAAAGTATGTTGTTGAAAAATGTCACCAAGGCAGAGAGAAGGTGGGGCCTTATCAGATTTGGCCACAGGTAAAATCTCACATTCTGAAACGAGTAAATGGGGATTCGCTGAAAAGATACAGAACGCCAAGAAAATTCTTGAGGACCCAACTCAAACTCAGCCCCAACCGTAGTGAGGTCACGTCTCGGGGGGAGTGTCACAGCTGGCCCTGGGATGGCTCGCCTTCTTTCAACCCTTTTTCTTTTCTTTTCTACTAGAGCGTCACCCTGCGGATATCCACAGAACTCAATAATGACATTTGAAGGAAGAAGAATGGTAGCTTACTCACTGACAGTCACAGTTTGCAGAAGTGGCGCGGACAGGGTGTGAACGCCACCCGACGGCAGGCGCCCGTGGCGCGCCCGGGACTTGAATGTCACTAAGCATTCCCAATAGTTGTACTGTTTCCAAAGGTATGTTTTCCTAGAGAATGCAGAGCGTTAATGACATAGCAATGTTTTAATACTTTTCTAAACTGACACTTTTTTATATTCACAAATTCATTACCCGAAAGACAAGGTGTTACGGGAAATGGAGAGCTCTTATTTTTGTACAGATTCTGTTTCGTAGTGTCTTTGTGTGTGAGTGATTTCTGGAAATACACTAAATGAGGAATTCATTAACAAGTAAAATCAGGATATTTTGAGAATGAACTGTATAATTTTGTATCGTGAGGGCATTTGTACAATTCAGCGTTTGGTGATCATGGAGATTTAGCTAATAAATGAACACTAAGGATGACGCTCTGGTTTTTAGACGCACTAAGCGAAATGCTTCTGTTGAAAAGCCCGAAAGCCACCATTCACGCAAACTCTCGGTGAGCACGGCGCTGCTCAGCCGCCTTTGCTGCTGAGGGGTAGTCTGTGCGCACACGTGTAGTGGGATGGATTCAGGAAGCTGATTGGAAATAATACACCTCACAGCAGCAAGTGAACTAGAGGCCGGCAGCTGGCGGGAAACCTGCCTGGGTTCCTGGTTGAGCGAGGAGGGAAGGTGAGCCTCAGGGCGCCTTGGGTGAAGGCAGGGTGACGGGAAGGATGCTTCACTAAGTACTAACCCTCTGCCAAGCCAACCTGTGAAAAGCATAAGAATGGCATTTACAAAAGCACCCTGGCCTGTTACGGGCACAACTTGATAGACGGCCAGGCTCTCGGGCTGAAACTCACCTCCTGAGTCCAGTGCATGCCCTCGAGCGTGCTGGAGAGACCCCGGGTCCCAGAGGGGGAGAGAACAGAGAGGCCGCCGCGGGCAGTTTATCTGCTGCTCCGTGGATGCCTGTGGCTGGACGCTTGCCCACCAACAGATGTGAGTCAGGCCCTGGGTGAAGCACCGCCTGCACACGCCACCTTTGTGCCCAGGCCTGGCAGGACCCAGGAAAAGCAGGTCATCCCAGGGGAAGTGAGCTGGCATCTGAAAGTGAGAGGACGGGGTGCTCCCTCATGGGCCCTCCAGACCCAAACCAACAGCGTCTGGCCAAGTGGGTCCAAACCCGGAGGGCACACGCCAAGGGCAGACAGCCCACTTGGACAGCCGTGGGGGGAACCTGGGTGTGGTGGGTGAGCCTCCGCAGCGTTTAGCCACCTCTGGAAGGACAAGCTGGGTGTCCCCTGCGTGCTCAGCAGTGGGAACCAGACAGCCATTTCTGGGTCTGTTGTAACTCGCCACGATGCTGCGGGTCGCACTGTCACACTGGAACGGAAAGACGGCTTAGAGCTATGTCAAGCCGTTGTCATTCTGGGGAGGAGGAACGCCACATACCTTTCCCCGTGGGGACTGTAGTAGAATGAATTTGTGGTTGGTCTCACTCTGAGCAGACTTCTTTTTTTAAAAAATTTTTTGTTTGTTTATTGATTTTTAGAGAGAGGGGAATGGAGAGGGAGAGAGAAATAGAAACATCAATGAGAGGGCACATTGACTGGCCACCTGCTGCATGTCCAGCACTGGGGATTTGGCCCACAACCTGGGCATGTGCCCTGACTGGGAATCGAACTGGTGACCTCTTGGTGCATGGGTCGACGCTCAACCAGTGAGCCACTCTGGCCGGGTGGGCTGAACAGACTTCTTATCAGCACTTCTCATTATGCGCTGCCGTTCTGATTCCCGCCTCTCTCTGCGAGGGCGGAGTCTGTGCCTTCATCTTTATCCTTAGAACTCCAGCATTTAACCCGTCCCCCCTGGTACACAGCAGGTTCTTACCGAATACACGAGTGAGTGAGTGAACAATAAAGGAATGACTAGGGATACTTGTAGTGCTGCCTACACTAGTTAAGTGACGAACCGTTAGCTGTTGACTGCAGACGTGAGCACTATACACATGTCAGTTGTTGGGGCTTCACCATTCTCTGGCAACTCTCTTCAAGCTGGATAGTCACCACAGAAATTGCCACACGGGCCAGACAAAATGGTACACCTGGCCTGGCCACCCGAGAAGCCCCGGACTCACTCCAGACAGTGACGTCCTGCCGATTCCATTTGATCTCTAAAGCTGGTCCAGTCCACGTGTGGGTGTCAGTTCTCATTTCCAAGAACGCGCATTTCCTTGGACCTCATGGCTGAAAGAGTAAAATAAAATGATGTATTTATTTTAGTAATTTGTGTCTGTTAAATTATAATGTGCTGCCTGGGTACAATGATGACGTGTGTTTATCAGGGAAACAATTCTAGCTCTGTTGGATTTTATAAAGGTATAGTTTAAACCTTATGTTTTCTTTTTTATTGACTGATTGATTGATTTTAGAGAGAGAGGAAGGGAGACAGAGAGAGAGATAGAAACATCGATGAGAGAGAACATCGATTGGCCACCTCCTGCATGCCCCCCACTGGGGATAGGGCCCACAACCTGGGCATGTGTCCTGACTAGGAATTGAACTGGCGACCTCTTGGTGCATGGTCGGCGCTCAGCCACTGAGTCACACCAGCCGGGCTAAACCTAATGTTTTCTTAATTCATGTAGCATTGCAGGTGGGCACAGTGGTTCATCTTTGTAGAGATTCACTTTATTATTTTGTTGTTTTCTAAGTTTTTAAATTAAAGTTTGCATTCAATATTGTTTTATATTTGTTTTGGGTGTACAGCATAAGGGTTAGACAGTTATATAATTTACAAAGTGATCCCCCCAATCATTCTGATACCCACCTGGCACCTTTGTAGAGATTCTTAAACATGAGTATCAGGAATTTGCATTTATCAAGACACTCAGGTGAAATACAACTCGGGCCCTGGCCGGTTTGGCTCAGCAGTTAGAGCGTCGGCCCATAGGTCCCGGGTTCGGTTCCCACTAAGGGCACGTACCTCGGTTGCAGGTTGTTTCTGGCCCCGGTTGGGGTCGTGCGGGTGGCAGCCAGTCGATGTGTCTCTCTCACATCAATGCTTCTCTCTCTCTTCCCCCCTCTCTCCCTCCCACTCTATCTGAAGATAAATGCAAAAATGCCCTCGGGTGAGGATAAAAAAAGAAATACAACTCAGACTTGTTCAAGGAAAAAGGGCATCTGTTCACTCAAGTAACAGGTGCAGGGACGGAGCTGGCCGTCGGGATGGGTGGGTTCCACAGAGGCACCAGGATTCCCTTCATTCTCTCCCATCAGCTGCTTCTCTCTGCAGGCATCATCCTCCGGCAGGCTTCCCCGAAACCCAGGCCTCCAACCTGTCCAGGGGGCAAGGGGGCTTCTCAGTGGTTCCAACAGCAGCCAGTGCGTTGAGAACCATTGTCTGATTGGCTGGCTTGGGTCACATGCCCACCTGTGGCGCAGGGAGGGGTCGACCACCTGCCCAAACTACGAGGCTGATGCTGGACGAAAGTTGTTTTTCTGAAGAAAGGTTTGGGAAATCGATCTTGAACCAACACAGAGCCGGCCTCTCCTGCGGAGTGAGTGCCCCCTCCGCCCCTGTACACCAGGAAAGCCAACCAAATGTACTGACAACCTCTTCAGGGTAAAAGGGAAGAAAACGTAAGCCCCGTACGTAATAAACATTCCTCCAGCCCACTTCAAAGTCATGCTTGTACTTTTTCAAGCCTCTCGTGTTCTTATTTAACCTCGGTGAGCTTGGTCAGGCAGTTAATGGTCACATGTTTCGGATGAGGAAGGCAAAGAGAAGTTCAATGACCTGCGAGCGACCCGCTGCCAGATGGCAAGGGATTCCGGTCGGGGACTCGTTTTCCTGATTCCTAATCAAGTGGGTCTTTTTTTGGTTGTTGTTTTTAAACACTCACAGAGAGGATTCCACAGAAATTGCATTTTATAAACCAAATTAAGTACATCAGTGCTGTGCTGTGTTCGGGTTTCCTAACATCCCTCACATGTGGCCTGGTCCCATGTTCCCAGATTTTACTCAGTTGGAGACGTACTGGTCTGGTGTTTGGGCCTGGAAGGAGGAAGGGGGGGCAGGGAGATAAGTGGTATCCTGTTCTCCCCCACCCCTCGATGCTGGCGATCGGCGAGCCCAGCCGTCTCCCCACACGCATACTTGGTCTGACTCTGAGTGCCCCGCGTGCTCGGGGCCAGAAAGTCATGCATCTGTATCCCGTCTGTTGTGCAAGAGCAGCCACAGCCTCAGCCCTGGGAGAGAGGCTTCTGGCTCTCCTGGGTCACCCCTAGCAGATTCTTCTTCTACAATGAAGGGCAGCAGGATGCCGAGCTCATATTAGGGCTGGGGTGGCAGTGACCTCCAAAATCTGACATTGGAAAGTGCTGAAGGAGAGACCAACAGCATGCACACACAGTGAACGCCTGCTATCTGGATTCACCCTGTTGGAGTAGCAAGCCAGTTTCTAGGTAAGTGGGGACTCTGAGTACCCCTCATCCCTGAGGCCAGGGGTCATGCATCTGTGTCCTGTCTGTTGCACAAGAGGGCAGTTCTCCCGCTCACCCCACTCGGAACCATCCGTCCTTCTATAAAATTTCAGAGCAGTAATATTCACGATTCAAAAAATCGAAACAATATAAAAAGGGAACTTGTGAAAAAGCCTCTGTATTTTTCTCTGCCCACATTTACCCAGCTCACCCCTCTGCTTGCAGATACCCACATTTTACGAAAATACAAGCGAAACACACATTTTGAAATGTTTCCCTTTGAACTTCTACCTCAAAAGGAGCACACTGTAGTTTTGAGCCTCCCTTTAAAAAAAGAATAGTTGCCCTAGCTGATTTGGTTCAGCAGTTGGAGTGTCGGCCTGCGGTCCGGAGAGACCCGGGTTCGGTTCCCGCTAAGGTAATGTACCTCGGTTGCAGTTTGTCCCCAGCCCTGGTTGGGTTGTGTGGGTGGCAGCCACTCGATGTGTCCCTTTCACGTTGATGTTTCTCTCTCTCTCTCTCTTCCTCTCACTCTATCTGAAGAGAAAATGGAAAAATGTCCTCGGGTGAGGATTAAAAAAAAAAAAAAAGAATAGTTGATTGATTTTTAGAGATAAAGAGAAACATCAATGAGAAAGTGAAACACGGATTGCCTGCCTCCTATATGCCAGGGGATCGAGCCTGCAACCCCGTGGTGCACAGGACAATGCTCAGCCGACGGAGCCACACGACCCGGGCCTGAGCCTGCCTTTTTTGACCAAGCAATGTATCTTAGCAATGTTCCTTGTCAGCACACAATGCTGTCTCGTATCTTAGTTCTGTTTTATAGCTGCACACATTCCATCATGTGCTCATTTATCGAACAAGTTGTCTATTTGATGAACAAGCTGTGGCTTCCAAACGTTTGCAGTTACAA